ACGTAATTTCCAGAATGGTTACATGCATGTGGAAGTCCTGGCCACTTCCCGGCAATGCGGGACATTGTTTTAACAGTCCCTCCATTTCCCATCGTAGTTCTGGTAAAATTCCCTCCTAATATATGATTGGATGATAAAACCTACTTGAAGGTCTAGCCTAGGTTTGAATCGGAAAAGCATGTGATGAGAGCTAGGCAGGAGCTAGGCCAAAGAGATGAGCTGGCCTGATGGAAGCACTACGCATGCATATCACTAAGCATGCATATCACCAAGCAGATTTCCATGGAAGTTTAGAAAAGTACGATAAAAAAAAGGAGTGTATTGACAGATTGGTCATAGAAAAAGAAAATAATTGATTGATTGATTTAACTGATTGATAGAATTTAATTATGCAATATCAAAACAGAAATTAGGCCTAAATAAGAAAATGAATACATGTAGTAGAAACAGATTTCCTTGCCTTGGCTAATGTACTGGCGCATTTTTGACGCAAACTAGGTCAAATTAACAGTTCACAAATTTTCACACAACACACTCTCGTGCCGCCACCTTGGTCCTCGGCGTTGTGTGGTTGGAGGTTCAAATTTCATTATGTAATTTTTACCGTGATCTATAAAAAATGAAACCATGATGGTAGGCCTAAAGTACCGGTAGGCGATTTTTTAATTACCAGAACACACGGTTAGTTGCTGACTGAATGCCTAGGGGCTAGTGTAGGCTAGGTAGGACCAGACCTGGTTTGACAGCACTAGGCCTAGCCTAGGCCTACACACCCAAAACTGCTATTATAACTTGTAAAATTCCCGGCCCTTCCAAGGGCAAATTTTAAGTACGTCCCGGCACTACGGGGACACAACTACAGTATGTGTACATCCCCGGCTCAGTCCCGGTTAGTGCCCCACTATGGCCCGGGTCTGGAGGCCAAGACTGCAATTGACAAGTGCATTACTCTTACTTATATTCCTTTAATATGTAATGATTTATTCCAATTTCTAATTTGTTTTTAAATTACAAAACTTTGTAATATAGTATTTACACACCAAAATAATCTTTTTTTTAGGTGAAGATATAGTATTCTTAGCTACAGACATAAACCTACCTGGAGCAGTTGACTGGGTTATGATGCAGTCATGCTTTGGCCATCATTTTATGCTAGTGCTTGAAAAACAAGAAAAATATGACGGTCTACAGCAGTTCTTTGCAATAGTTCAACTCATAGGCTCACGAAAACAAGCAGAGAGTTTTGCATACAGGTGAATTGATATTGATATAAGAATTTTGGAACCACTGTATGTAGTCATCAGTACCATCATTATCAATTCATTACCATCATTATTACCAACATCATTATTATTATCATTATTATCATCATCATCATCATCATCATCATCATCGTCATCATCATCAACATCATAATTATTATTACCATCATTGTCATTAACATCATTATCATTAACAGCATCATTGTCATTAACATCATAATCACCATCTTCATCGTAATCAAGAGCCTTGATTTGATTTAATTTATTTTGAAATAGCCATAAAATACTGCACATACAAAGATATAAAAAAGGCAAAAAAGTTGCTAAATTTGAAAAATAATAAACTGGATAAAACAAGGATAACACAAAAAGTTTAAAAACAATTTAAACTTATTCCATTGTGGTCCTTTGATAAAATATAAATAAAAGAATTTGATTTAATCCACAAACATACAAATTATGCACAACTCATAAGGCTCTGTTTGCATCATCAAAAACATGTTGAAGAGACTGTTTCCTAATTATTAATAGCCTATTAATTTTCATAATTATCACATTTTTAGCAGTAATGATCATCTTTTTTTTTTTAATTTGGAGCAAGAAAATTATCTTTTTTCTTTGTTTTTGTACCCATAAATTAGATTGGAATTAAATGGTCATCGACGACGATTATCCTGGGAGGCCACGCCTCGATCCATCCACGAAGGAGTACAGGCAGCGATCATGAACAGTGACTGTTTGGTGTTTGATTCTAGTATTGCTCAGCTCTTTGCAGAAAATGGAAACCTTGGAATCAACGTAACTATTTCCATGTGCTGATCAATGTCTCTGTGTTGTTGTATACTTTATTTATATTTTCTTTAGAGTAGGGTTCCCGGGTGAAGTAATAAGACAAGCGGCTTCATGGTACAGTCTATTCTAGAATTATGCACATTGAAAGGGGGGGGCCTAGACTGTGGTATGTATATAGTTACCTCAAAACAATGTCATACATTGTTTACCACAGTGCTTTATAGGAGAATTGAGGTATCTTCTTGTAAGTTATCTTTCCCAAGAAATAATGTTTTTCTTTGCATCACTTTGTGACATGGGGGATGCAATATTTTCTGTAACTAAGGCATAATGCTACATGTCTACACTGCTAAAGCAGTGTTTATCCCTGTGGTGTCTGTAATTGGCATGGGGATGCATGCTTCCTTAAAAAATATTGTTCACTTAAAAAAAACCAAAATACTTGCTGTGCAAAAAAATGACACTCAGGTAGTTAAAAAGCACCTCATATCACCCCATATTCCAGCTAACGCTATCTTATTTTTCCTTTGTTCAGCCATCAGCTTCCCTTCATTGGCCCCACCCAATGGCAGCACTTAGTTGTAGCATGTGGTTAGCCTAACATTCATTACTTTGCATGATCAAACTTATTATCTGCTTTGCCATGCCTCTTCCCTTCATCAGCCCCACCCAATGGTAGCACTCCTAGATATGCCATTTGGTTAGCCTAACATTTATTACTTTGCATGAGCAAACTTATTATCTGCTTTGCCATGCCTCTTCCCTTCATCAGCCCCACCCAATGGTAGCACTCCTAGATATGCCATTTGGTTAGCCTAA